AAGACGTGTCACCTGAAAAAGCCACTGTTGGAGCAGAAACTCTACCCAGTTTTGAGAGGGAAAATAGTGAAGCCGTTAATGAAGTTACTACTACTGATGTGACTGCTACCAATAATGGGGCATTTCTTGGTGGTGCACATGAACCCCACGTGAAGTAGAAGCCTGTGAGACAGAGACCAGTACCGAAGAAGATACGTCCCGTAAACTTAAGAGACTTTGTTGAATTTTAATTTTGTGTTTGTAAATTGTGTACATTTAATTAAGTTATTGTTAATTATCTATTGGCTAAATGTAAGTGGCTATTGTTCGGGACGAACAATACTAAGGAAATGGCAGTGTTACGACAGCAGAAGTCGCGTGACGCTGGGAGCATGCGCGCTGGAGTTTTTAGAATTATCGGGGAACCTCGCGAATGTCCGAGTGTTTGCTAGACGCCCTGTTTTTTAGTATATAAGCTTGGCAAAGAAAGCCAGCGATATAGGCAGATAGATAGCTAGATAATTGAGTCAAGCGAACAGTAGGCACCGTAGGTAAAGTGTGTGAATCACTGTGATTTATAAACGTGTTATAAACGTTGTTAAGTTTAAAATGACTGTGGAAATTCTGTGTATTACAAAGTTGTATCGAGAAAGAATAAACTGGTTTAATTAAGAAAGGACTTGTATCGCTGAAGTTCCTCGGAAAGAATTTATACTGGAAATTAAGGAAATTAACAAACGAGCAGATACGTAACAATATGATAAGTTAACAACATCGGGAAGAAACAGGGTAAAGACCAGAATATATATAATGGCTGGAGACGGCTTGAATAGGTAATGAAAAAAAACTTTAATATAAGTTTAACATAACAGCAAATGTACAACGTTTCGACAAGGTTTTGTCATCATCAGGTACACACACACACACACACACATATATATATATATATATATAAATCCATTTGTAATAATCAATATTTTGTTTGTACAACTCCTGAAGAACAAGAATGAATGAACACTTAGTGAATGTATATATATATATATATTTCACTTATGGCTTATGCAGTATTGGTACCTTTGAATCCAAGTTACATAAAATCTAACAAAGTTAAGTTTTGATAATTAATTTACCATAAACACGCTTTGCTAAAGATTACGGCCATGTTGGGAGACGAAAAGCTTAAGGCCGTGGGTTTGATTGACTTTGGACGTATATTTTCGAAAGTTTACTAATTTTAATCTTATGAAAAGGATCATTTTTCTTATGACAATGATGAATTAAAAAATAATAAAAATTGATAAATTTGTACTTGTAACTTATGACCCTTTGCGTGAATTTTGTATATGTAAGTAAACTAATAATAATATATTAAAGTCTCGTATGTTAACGATAATGAATATTATTAATATTGCAAGCGTTAGGCCTAACTTTCTTAAACATTTGTTACCTAATCTCAAAGGTAAATGAAAATAATATTATAAATTAGGCGATAGACGTCATTGGCACTTGATATGGTAGGTAAAGTGTAGTTGGTTGACATTAATATTATATAATGTTCTTGACCTTCACTCAAAGTTATCAATACTATTGTTAATAATATCTAACAGTGTTAGTGTTAATAACAGTAACAGTGAAACTAAATGTGAAAGCTCGTAGAACAAGAAGAAAATTAAGTTTTTGTAAGTTTTGTGGATTTGTTATATCTAGAGTTTCAGAAAGCATTTGAGAAAGTGTTTTTAAAAATGTTTATATGTAGGACTTCCAACTTTTAGGAATCTGTTTGAGTGAGAATTAAAAAATTAAAAGTTTAGTGTTTGCTAGTGTCACAAGCACTGAATACAGTCACCTTCCAGAGGAGGTCTGGTAATATGTTTTACCCAGAAAATTTATTATTTAAAGAACCAAATTGTACAATCAGGTTCATATCATGGAACAATGTGATACTGAACTTGATCTTAATCCAGTCAGAGAAACGACCATAATACGTTATAGAAAGCTGCTAATTTGACCAAAATGTGAGATATTTTTTCCCAAAGTGTCAACGTGATAATACTATTAATAGGCTTAAATGGTTGAATGTTGATAGCTCTGTATATTGGTATGAGAATAAGTCAGTAGCAATAATAAAGACAAGGGTAAAAAGACAGTGGAAAAATAGACAAAGAAAAATTATACCAGCAGGTAAAAAAATCAAAAATAAGTCCTTTATTTTAGGAATGTTACAAAATGACAAATTCCAAAATAAAACATTTTACTTTTTTATTACCACAGGTATGTGGAAACCCTGTAAGAGAAAGAAACTTATACAAACAGCCAAAAAAAAATATGAAGAAAAAAATCTTATATTCTAGAAATGGCATAAGATGAGAAATTCTGAAATTGATTAGAAAATTAATAGCAGCTTATTAACTTAATTGGTTTACATGGTTTAAATAATTAAATGGCTTAACTGTTATTGATAGTTTTCCAAAATACTTTTTTAAATGTTTTTTACCTGTTTGTGTAATTTTATTTGTATTTTTTACCCTTATCTTTATTCATGATAAGTGGGGTCCTTGGATTGAAGAATGGTGGAAGAGAAAAAAACAGGGGATTCTTATAAATGGCATTCATTCAAACTGGATTAATGTTACAAGTGAGGTCAGTACCTCAAAGTTCAGTCCTAGGAACTTAGCTGTTTTTGATTTAATCAGTGACAGAAGAATGGTCAATAGATTACTTAAATTTGCCAATGTTGTTAAGGTTGTGGGTGTTGCTAGCTGTGAGGAGGATGCTGCTGATTTACAAAAGGATTTAGATTATTTATTGATTTAGGTGAACATATGTCAAATAACTTTTAATTATAATAAATGCAAGGTAATGCATCTTCGTTATCATAATTGAAGGTATAAGTATAATGTTGGTGGAAATAACCATAACACTGTGTCATAGTAGAAAAGGACTTTTTTGTTTTAGTTTGTCACTCTTAAGCCATCCAAGCAATGTGCTGTTGCTAGTGGTATGGGAAATAGTATTGTAGGTTGTATCTACAAAAAGAATTGAATACAAGTCTAAAGGGGTTATAATTTCCTTGTATAGGGCATTGATTAGGCTTCTTTATTGTGTTCAGTCATGGGCTCCCTACATTAAGAAGAACATGGAATCGTTGGAAAGGGTTCAAAGGATGGGAAGGTTGTCATATGACTTGTATTATGAGTGCAGGTTAAGATCTTTGAAATTGTTTTGTTTTGAAAGAAGAAGAGTTATAAGGGATCAGATTGATGTTTTTAAGATTATTGGGGAATTGATAGTATATCTTGATGCATCTTTTTTATTTTATAGTTAACTAGTATATAACTCGTAAAAAATGATGGGGCAAATACTACTAGCCCCACCCCGTAGTATACCCTAACCTCACATTTCATAGCTAACCGAAATAAATAAATTTTGCGAAATCAAGCATGACCAACAAAGAGGCAGAAAAGTGCAGTCATGGCAGTCAAACATCAGTAACTTCCTTTGTGAGCCAATAAAAATTAAGATGAATTCATGGCATATTCTTAGAATAATTATTGGTAAAAATCAGTTAGATTAACAATTTCTAATAAAGAGAAATGCCAGTGCATTTTGATAACACTACCTTCCAACAATGGCTTTTATGTCATGTTGCTTAGTAACAAAAATATAACCTAGTATTGTTGTTAGTCTATATCATAAAGTATAAAATCAAATGTATAAAAAACAAAACTGGAAAAATATTTGTTGATTTCTTAATTTAGAGTCTCCATTGATTAAAGAGGTTTGTTTTTTGTTAAAAATGTTGGTGATATAATATAAAATAGCTTAATTCAGAAATTATTTAAGTTTAAAAATGAATCAATATTTTTACTTTCATGTTAAATGTTATGCACTTTGCTATAGGTTAGGTGATCCGAACACTCATTATACTTATAAGGTTTCATGGCACCCCCTCTCACATCTCCCTTGCACCTCTGTCACTAAAATCATAATGGGCAGACAGTAATAGAACTATTCTATCCAAATAAATGCATTTTGACTTTTATAACTCCTCCTATTTGAGAAATTAAGTGTGATGTGATTCACACATGGGTTTTTATATAGGTTAGATAATGAGAATGTTAGGACAAGAGGATATAAATTGTGACATGGTATAAGTCATCTTCAAATTAGTTTTACATTAATAAGGTTGTTGACCTTTGCAATAGGCCACTTTCAGGTTTAGTGAATGTAGTAAATTTAAGGGAAGGCTCAATTAATATTTAAGTGACCAGGGCTAGATCTGAGATTTTTTTAATGGATGGGACAACCTTGACAAAACAACAAGCCTTTTGTTTTCTTTAAATGATATGATCATGACTGCCTTTGTTATGGGGGGGGGGGGATGTGCTTCTTCTGACCTATGTGTTAGGTGGCTGTGGTAAATAACTCAATAGGTTTAATAAACAGTGATTTAATTTCTGTAATAAAATTCATTGAATTATGTATTCTAATCAATTCACAATAATTTAACTTTGCCTTGGAAATGTAGTTTGACAGTAATTTAGTATATATCTATACACATCCTAGGCTAAACAAATCTTGCACATTTTTACTGACTATGGGAAAATGTATGATACCAGATTAACAGTATATTCTTTTATGCTAATGATAACTTGCATGTATAATAGTAGGTCTAAAATTTAATACTGAGATATTAAGCTTGTGTTAACTCAAATATCAGGCTAGGTACTTCTTTTTTTTTTTTTTGTTTATGATTTGATATTTATGGTAGAGTGTAAAATTATAAAAAAAGTACTTAGCCTGATGTTTGGATAAAACATAACTCCTTATTCTCACAGCTACAGTTATTATAGCTGTTACAGTGCATTTCATTTAAAAACTATAATGTTATTATTATACACCAAACAACTAGATTCAGGCAAGCTGTTAGCTAGCAGGAGAAATATAAATTAAAAAAAACATTTATTTGTAAGTGCATTATATCAAACTAAAGAAGATTCTTTACAATGATCTGAAGAAAAATAACAGTCTTAACTAAGTAATAACTTTATTATTTTTTAAACACAAATTACTTATGCAGATCAAGTATATTAAATACTTTATTGTTTTCTTTAAGTATTGTTGAAAGAGGAAGATGGGCTTTGACCTGGGACGATTCCATGGGGAAGTGGATGAAGAACTTATATGTCCTATCTGTTCTGGAGTTCTAGAAGACCCATTACAAGTACTTTAAGTTTTATATTCCTTGAGCATTTTTTTTTTAATATTGTAACATATTTATCAGTTTAAATGCACTTTGAAAAGGAAATCACACCTCTAAGCTAACAACCTAAAGTACTTTTTAATTTATTAAGTTAATTTTGTGAAAAAAAAGGTCACTGTTTTCATAAGAAAGATGTGGTTTTGATGTATGGTTTTTCCAGACTGAAAAATCTTCTTCGTTAGGCTCCTCAGTGTGAACATGCATTCTGTCGAAGCTGCATTTTTGAGTGGTTTGTTCGTCAACAGACATGTCCAGTTGACCGAACCCCTGTTACAACTGTACAGCTAAAGCCTGTGCCTCGTATCCTCAGGAACCTATTGTCTCGTCTCCTTATCACGTGTGACAATTCCTCTTTTGGTTGTGGTGCAGTGGTGAAACTAGACAGGCTTACAGCTCATGAAGATGAATGTGAGTACAACCCAAAACGACCAGTACAGTGCCAGCAAGGGTGTGGACTAGTAATTCCTAAAGATGAACTCAAGGTGTGTAATATAAAGGGAACATTTCTAACAAAAATTTAACACTGTAATACATTAAGGGGTAAGAATAATTCTGCCTCATGTTATTTCAGAAACAAAACTTAAAATCTCTTGGAATGTTTAATCAGTAAAAAAAAGGAAAATGTAATAACTGTGAAAAGATGAATCATCTTGATCTCCAGAATATTTTGAGTTGTATTTATTTTATTGGGTTTTTTCAGGTTTTACTTTGATTTATAACATCAGAATTTAAAAGTGTTTCCATTTTTTTTTTCAACATGCTTGAATAACTCAACATTTTAAGCTTGTAATTATGTGATGAATTCTAGAAGGTTATACAGTTAGCACCACAAAACTAACTTTCTTTTGACTAAACTCTGGTTGCATGATAGCAATAATATATGAACTAAACACTTTTTGGTGGTACTATAGCATGCAGTCTACACAGATACAACCATCATCACTGTTTTAACTTTCATTTATTTGCAATAGGCACCTTTTATTATAAATAATGCTTTTAAACTAATAAAGTACAAATATAATTGGAATTAAATAAATTCCAACAATAAAAACTAGCATAATTATAACCTAAATATAAGATACTCTTTTGGAACACACAACTTGTTAAATTATTATTATTTGCTAAACAAAAACGTGGAAAGATATAAATTACTTAGCAAGAAATTATGGTTTAGTGAATCATTAAAATGGTGATGATGATAATATCTGTGTAGACCCCATGCTATAGTGTAAATATCTTAGCAAGAAATTATGCTTTAGTGAATCATTAAAATGGTGATGATGATAATATCTGTGTAGACCCCATGCTATAGTTAAAATATCTTAGCAAGAAATTATGCTTTAGTGAATCATTAAAATGGTGATGATGATAATATCTGTGTAGACCCCATGCTATAGTGTAAATATCTTTGTAGATTGCATGCTATAGTAGCACCCATTTTTTTTATATTATTTAACTTGTTTTTTGTTTTTTAATACAGTAAGAATTCCTGATTCACTGCTGTGTGAACAGTAGAGAACCGACTAGATGTCTGATAACTTTTCAGTTTTGGGAAAGTGTTGAAAGCTTAATTTGTTGCTGTCAAGGATCAAAACAAAACAGAAGACAGTTTAAACTATTTCTGTTGTCAGTTAAACTCTTAAACATTCTGCTTTCTCACTTTTTTGAAGATTGTATAAAAATTTGTGTTAACTGTCCATAAATTCATCCAGCAAAATGAGCAACCTGCAGGATCTAAAGCTGGGCAATTAGTAGAAATTGATAATTGATTAATCATCAGGCTCATTAATCAATCACATGCAACTAATCAATTATTCTTGCCAAACTTGGATAAGTGGAGTATTCTAAAATGTAATAATCAAAAAATAATTTTGATACATTTATTATTTTTATGAGTTGTGACATACCCATTTAAATTAAACAATCTTGAATTAATCAAATACAATAATGAGAAATTTTAATGGGAATAATTTGATTACTTGGATAGTTAGAATAATCAAAAACAGTAATGATCAGAAATATTAATTCTGATTAGTTGGTTATATTAGTGACATTAATTAATGTAACTGAGTGAATCACTCAGCTATAGTAGAAACTTTTCTAACTAAAAATAATTAGATTTAATATAAAAAACATTGCTGCTTTGGAATAAATGTTCCTTATGTATATGCCCATTGATATTTGAATACTTATCTCCAGTCTTAACAGCATAGAATTTGAGAGCTGTAATCAGCTTGCAGCTTGTTTAGTACCCAAACAAGATGATGATAATGCACATTTTTTATTTGCAGGATGCCATCTATGAAGCAAACTTCTGTTTATTGCTCTTATCAGGCTATTTTGATTGACTGAATATTTTATTGTGTGAAACAAAAAATATGGAAATAAGTCTGATATCAATTAGAATTTTTTGAGTAGATTTTTTGTTCTGAGTAAAAACCTAATATGGCCACACATAAGCCTATTTTGAACATCAGATTTTTAAGAATTATATTTCAAAAAATTAATCATCTCAACTTTCTCACATTAAAACACTTTTATGTTAAACTGTTTTACTTTTGATAAATATACACCAGAGATAGTGTTGTAAATGAAGATATTTATATGCTTTGTTAAATTTGTGTTCATCAACTCTATAACTTACTCTCAGGGCCATAGTTGTATTAGGGAGCTTCGAGCATTAGTCCAAAGCCAACAGCAGAAAATGACAGACTTTCAACAGGAGCTAAATGAACAAAAACAAGAGATAGATTTGCTTAAGGTCAGCTTTTTTTTTTACTTGTAGGTTGAAGTGTTTTTATAATGTATGAACCTGAGAAAGTAAGCAAGTACGAACTGATCTTTGTGTTAGTGTCATGTCACTGCGTTCCCAAACAAGTATGGACTGATCTGTATGTTAACATCATGTCACCACATTCCGTAACAAGTATGGACTGATCTGTATGTTAACATCATGTCACCACATTCCGTAACAAGTATGGACTGATCTGTATGCTAGCATCGTGTTATCACATTCCCAAACAAGTACAGACTGATCTGTATGCTAGCATCTGCCACCTCGTTCCCAAACAACTACGTGTCATCACATTCCCAAACAAGTACAGACTGATCTGTATGCTAGCATCGTGTTATCACATTCCCAAACAAGTACAGACTGATCTGTATGCTAGCATCGTGTTATCACATTCCCAAACAAGTACAGACTGATCTGTATGTTAGCATCATGTCACCACATTCCCAAACAAGTACAGACTGATCTTTATGCTAGCATCATGTCATCACTTTCCCTAACAAGTACAGACCGATCTGCATGCTAGTGTTGTGTCACCACATTCTGAAATAAGTACAGACCGATCTGCATGCTAGCATTGTGTCACCACATTCTCTAACCAATACGGACTAATCTGTATGCTAGTGTTGTGTCACCACATTCTGAAATAAGTATGGACTAATCTAACAAGTACAGACTGATCTTGATCTGTATGTTAATATTATGTCAAATATAAATAATTTGTTTTATTGTAAGGTAAACACTTTTTCCAGATTTAAATAAAAGATTGATATTAATATATTACAGAATAGTATGGTCTGAAGTAACTTAGAGAGTTAACATCAGTTACACTTGCAACATGTGTGGTTGTGGAATGAAACTGTATATTTTTCTGTATACGAAGTATGTAAAATGCACAGTTTTTTAATATATGCAACAGCTAAAAGTTTTATATTATAACCACTTCTTGTTAACTAATACAAGAGCAAAGTAATTGAGAAAGTTTACTCAGCATTATGTTTCTTTTTTTAATTACAGGAATGTATCCGAACCTTCACAATATCCAACCCATGCGTACCAAACCTTGTAGAATCCATTGGACAAGATGAAATTTCCAGGTGCCATTTTTTTTTACATTCTGTAGATCACTATAATCTAGAGACAGTAGTGATGAGTTATGATGAATTGTTTGTAGAATATTATCATCATATAATTATCAGGATTGTTGTATTTATTCCAGTTATAATATTGTACTTAGGCAAAAAACAAGGAAGTGGTAAAATCCAGGAACTTAATTAGTTTATATTTCATTTATCTTGCATTTGATGGTTTTACTCTGAACACTTGCGACTCTGGATAACTGACATTGTAATATATGAAGAGCTAATATTAACTAAATAGTCTAACAATGAGGTATTTTATTATTGTAACAAAAAAATCCCCTGTAGGTATCCTTTAATTAATCACATTTCCAGGTCTGAAATAAACTTAAATGCAAACAATGTTTACAAAGTTTACTACAAAGTGCAAGCTTAAATAGGTTCTCTATTTTATTATTCAAAGTCACCTGCATGAAATAACTTTTGAGTTATAATGATTTATCAAATTTTAACTAAACTTATTTAATTATTACGGCAGAATTCTCAGTTACCACATGAAAAAATCTATTGCAAGGGCAACCTAAAGTAAAACAAAACATTTATATATATAGTACAAAGACATGTTTTAATTTATCGTCAAGTTGTACAAGCAGACTTTTACCTTTCAACATTGAAACCTAAAGTAAAACAAAACATTTATATATATAGTACAAAGACATGTTTTAATTTATCGTCAAGTTGTACAAGCAGACTTTTACCTTTCAACATTGAAACCTAAAGTAAAACAAAACATTTATATATATAGTACAAAGACATGTTTTAATTTATCGTCAAGTTGTA